TATATATATATATATATATATATAATGAGAAGAATTAAATTAAAAATTCTTAATACATAAATTAAAATTTTAAAAACTATTTAATATTCTATTTTTTTATTAATTCAAATCAAATTATAAAATATTTTTATAATTATTGGATACCATTTTCGATTTAAGTCCTTTTTTCACCATTTTATGAAAAGTTTAGAGAAGTAAAGTAAAATGGTCGTAATGTAGAATAAAAGATAGCATATAACAGTGACCTGAAAATCATATATACAAGGAATGCATGAAGAACAAGAAGCATAAGTATATAGAGGATAATCAGATAATGGCATATTGATATTGTAGTTCTATTGGTTTCATTTGATGCACAACTTCAACTCACTTGTCTTATATTATGAAAATATCTCATTGTCAATGACATGCAAACAAAAATTTAACAGATATGGAGGAGGTGGTGGCTGAAACCCTAAAAATTATTCATGATGAAGGGGAATCATTTTCCCAAAGGGCAGAAATGTACTACAGGAAGAGGCCACAACTGGTAGGTTACGTGGAAGAAGTGTTTCGAGCATATAGAGCATTAGCTGAGAGATACGATCTTCTGTCAAAGGAGCTCCAAAGTGCCAACCGCACTATTGCCAGTGCTTTCCCAGAACAAGTCCATTATAGAATTGATGAGGATGATGGTGAAGAAGGCTTCCATGGAACAAATTCATCATCTCAACACCCCAACAACCAAACACCAAAATCAAGCATTCCTAAAGCCCCAAATATGCCAAAGAAGGATTTTAGAAGCCCATCAATGGTGCTCTCTAAGAAGGGTACATTTAAGAGATTTGCAAAATCTGCTCCCACAAGTCCTCATTCAGGTCTGAGTAAGGTTGCAGCACTAGCAGAAGTTGACAAGCTTCAGAAAGAAATGTTGGCACTACAAACTGAGAAAGAGTTCGTAAAGTGTTTGTATGAACATTCCTATGAAAAGCACTGGGAAATTGAGGACCGTATTACTGAAATGCAAAAAAGAGTTTACAGTTTGCAAGATGAGTTTGACATTAATGCAATCATAGAGGACAATGAGGCAAGAGCTTTAATGGCATCAACAGCTCTAAATTCATGCAAAGAGAGCCTTGCTAAATTGCAAGGTGTACAAGTACAATCATCTGAAGAGGCTAAAGTAGCACACCAAAGGGTTAAGGAAGCTCATGCCAAGTACGAAGCCCTTAAAGACCAATTCATTTCTAAACATAAAAGTCAACAAGACCACGGAATAGAACCGAAAAACATAGAGGAAGAAGACTTGTCTAACTTGGAAGAAGAAATGCATGAGCATGATGTGGGGAAGTTAAGAGACATGATTAAGAAAAAGCTTGAGGAAGATTCAGGTAGCTCCCTCACTATGACAGAAATCGTAGAGAAGATTGATGAGCTTGTAAGTAAGGTTGTTACCCTAGAAACTGAGGTCTCTTCTCAGACTGGCTTGGTAAAGAGACTGAGATTAGAAGCAGATGAACTTCAAAAAAATATACTGAGCTTGGAAGAGGGCAAGGAAATGCTGATTGAAGATTCAGAAGAAACAAAAAAGAAGCTGAAAGAAGTGGAGGAGGAGCTGAGGAGAGTTAAAATTCTCAATGAAAATATCAAAAGGAAAGGCAATAACCACCAAACACACTTTACTGAGGCTAGTTGTGATCTTGAACACCTTTTAGGAAAAATGAATGATGTAAAGCTAGAGGAGGAGGGGGAAAACTCGCTACTATATAAAAACCAAAGTGCACCAGATGAAGAACTAGAAGAGTCTGAAAAACCAGGTGATAACACAAAAATCATGAAGGATGTTAATATAACCAAGGAGAATAAGGAAGATCGTAGCGTATATATTGGTGATGTTAGAAATGAAGATAACAGGTCCAATTTGAAGGAAAATATTGATTTTAGGAATGAAGAGGAGTTTGAAAAACCAGGTGATAACACAGAAATCATGAAGGATGTTAAGATAACAAAGGAGGGAAAGAAAGATCATAGTGTAAATATTGGTGATGATAGTAATGAAGATAACAAGCCCAATTTGAAGGAAACTATTGATTTTAGGACTGAAGAGATTCCAGAGCCAATGGTGCAGGAGAAGGATGATTTGTCTGAGGTAAGGAGTAATGTTGAGACCGAATCACTTGATCTGGGGACTGGTGAGAAAGAAGATCAACCTACCTGGAATGACATGTCTACAAGTGGATTAGATGAAACAGAAAAGATTCTATTGGAATACACATCAGTTTTAAGGAGCTACGAGGATGTAAAGGGAAAGCTCAATGATGTGGAGAAGAAAAATCGGGACAACATTTCTGAGTTGACACATCAGGTAAATAACAGTCGATCTATATATTTAAGCTTGTGATGAACTTCATTGTTAACAATGTAAATTGTAAAGTCAAATTGAAAAGGCAATAATTTTAACAAATTTGATAAATGGATATACTGTTAACAATCATTAAATGGAATAAGTTAACTTACCACATTATTTGTAATATAATTTCACAACAAAAATCTGCTAAAACTTAGTATAGTTTTATGGATCCTGCTAACAAGTAGCTTTATGATACTTTATTAAGAAATAAAAAAAATGTAATGAAAAGTACAACATTTAAAAACTAGACTCTAAAAGCTTTAGTTTTCATTTTTGAATTAGTAGCAGAAAGTGTCCTTCCTAAGAATAATTGTTAGCATTTGCCTAATGGCCCTAATCTTGTTAAAGTGAACAAAAATACAAGAAGGTTTCACTTATTTTCATAATAGGATTTTAGTGATAAAACTAATTATAATTACTTTGAAATTGTTTAAGACCAAGTTAGGAAAATAGTATATGTAGGTTGGGGTCAATTTTTTTACATTTAGTAGTTGTATATTAGGCACTATATTATCTCCAGTCCTAAGAATGTAGATATTCACATGCAGGTAAGGGAATTGAAGGATACCGTTGAAATTAAGGATAAAGAGATAAACATTTTACAACAGAAGTTGTCCTGTTCAGAAACAAATCCCGATGAAAGTCATTACACCACTCTCACAGATTATAACCACACGCCACAAGAAGCACTTCTTCAAGGAATAGACTCACAGGATCCTGAAAATCCATCTTCAAACACAGATGCAAGTGCAGTTAGTACTTCTTATGCAAATCAACAACATGTTGAAAACAAAGAAAAGGTTGGCATTAGCATGTCACATGGAAAGACCATACTAGTGAAGGTGAAAACAAACCAGCTTGGAAAAAGCCACTCACTTTCAAACTTAGAAAAGAAATTTCGTTCAGACATCGATGATTTGCTAGAGGAGAACTTGGAGTTCTGGCTGAGGTTTAGCACCTCGGTGCATCAGATTCAAAAGTTTCAAAATTCCATTAAGGACTTAAGATTTGAGCTTAGAAAAATAAGGGGTAACAACATGCCCCAAGAGAACTCAAGTTCTATACAATCTGAAATAAAACCAATATTTAGACACCTAAGAGAGATAAGAACGGAGTTATTACTATGGCTTGAACACAATGAAGTGTTGCAGGAAGAGTTGCAGGGTAGGCATCCATCATTGTGCACATTACAAGATGAAATAGCAAGAGCAGCAAATCCAAATTGTGCATCACATATGGCAGAACTAAGTGGATATCAGGCTGCAAAGTTTCAAGGTGAGGTTTTAAACATGAAGCAGGAGAGCAACAAGGTTTCTAGTGAACTCGAAGCAGGTGTGAGTTGTGTGAAGGGACTTAGAGGTCAAGTTGAGAAGATGCTAGAAGAACTGAATCAAGAAATTAGGGCTAACACTCATGGCAACATGAAACACTCCACAAGTCGTGGTAGAATACCCTTGAAGTCTTTTCTGTTTGGAATCAAGTTAAAGAAGCAAAAGCAAACGGTTTTGACATGTGTGCATCCAACACTGCTTAGGCAATATAGTGATCTATCAGAGGCTGAGGATACCTTTATATAGACACATTTTCATCCTCTAGTTGAGTTTTTGGACAATTCTACATTTTGTATAGTCAATGATTATGATTTTGATGTTGCTTTTATGTCTAGTCTTTTGTCTGAAATCGTAGAAGCTATGTAACCAGCATTTGCGTTGTAAATATATACTTACACGGAAATATAAAGATTCTCTATAAACTTTAACCAATTCATCAAATATGCATAATGTTATGTTTCAGTACATCATTGTTTATGAACATTTTAAAAAAATTAATCAAGTTTAAAAAAATTAGATTAAAATTAATTTAATATTATAATTAAAAATTCGTTGTAAAATTTTGCAAAATATTTTTTTATATTTTTTATTTAGATAACTACATTAAATTACTATTTCATATATTTTTTTAATTCTAAGAATCTTGAAATAGTAAAATTTTTCAACTATTAAATTCGATTATTTATTAAATACAATTATTCTATATTTTTTTTTAAAAAAAGGTTGAAATTACCATGACTTATGTCAAAAAATAAAAATCCAAAAATTTTACAAAACAAATCGATATTTCAGAATCTGGTGTAACATATTGATTTTGTGGTACAAAGAAGTGAAGTAAGCAGGGCACCACATAAAAAAAATAAAAGAATAATAAATTATCCGAAACAAACGCAGAGAAAGAAAGAGAGAAGAAAAAATGGCGATGTTATCACCACCACCGTCCTTGCAACTCTCCCTCTCATTCCCTCTCTCTTCCTCCAAACCCCATCACCGCAGGCTCTTCACCCTCCGAGCCACCGACTCGGAAACCCCACCCTCCGGTTCGGACCCCTCCGAGCCCGAACCGGACGCCTCCGACGACGACGACTTCGACAGCCGCATCAACCAGCTCCGCCTCCGCTACCGCAGCGGCACGGGCAAGAAGGCGGAGATCCGAAAGAGCCGAAAGTCCAAGAAAGGCTCTTCCGGGTCACCCGGGTCTGCCGTGTTCCTGCCGCCGGTGGCCCTCAAGGAGCCGGTCTCCGGCGGAGTGAAGGTGGAGTTAGGGTTCAGCCACTACAGCGAGCGCTTGAACGGTCGCATTGCGGCTCTGGGTCTGGCGGCGCTGTTTCTGGTGGAGCTTGCCACCGGAAAAGGCGTTATTAACTATCACACGCCGGCTATTATTCTGATTCAGATCTACTTTGTGGCTGCGGTTGGAGCCGTCTTTGTTAAGTATGAGAAGGAGAAGATCAGCGTTTGGCCCCAACCTGATTCTTCTTCAACTAACAAATGAAATTGTTTTTTTCCGTTTGTTGGAGCCAAACGCGCTTCTACTTTTTGCTAATGTAGTGTAATTATTATTATTCTGTTTAAATGAATGTTGTTTGCAGGATGAATTGTGGTTTTGGATTTGTAATTATATTATATGGTGTCCTTGTTGGAGATTGAGAGAGATCGAAGTTCAAGGTCCTTTTACGACTGTGTTTCTGAATGAAATTGTCATTTGGAATGAATATAGCTGATGTACAAGCCATTGCTCATGATAATAATATTGGTCTTCAAAACAAAATGTTGAGGACTAGATTATACACAATACATTAACCGGGAGATCGGGTAAAAAATTTTCTGTAAGCATATTTAAGAATGAGAAATAAGAAAAAAAATAAAATAAAATTCTTCATAATTTATTTATAAATTAATTTACAGAAGTTTTTTATTATTAATTTTAAAAAAATTTATTTTTTCTTAAAAGTATTTTTAATAAATTTATCTAAACGCTTAAAATGTTAATTACATCAAACTACTGGGAACTAATAAATTATATAAAATTAAACATTCTAGAGACTAGATAAGGTACTTAAGCTAAGTTTTTTGATTGTCAAAATTCAGTAGTTGAAAGAATTGTCAGGATAGCACCTAAATTTGACTTTTAATTGTGTTAAAATATCATTTAATCAATAAAAAATATTTCATAAAAATAAATTGATCTTTAATTATTATTTTTGAAACAATGTGTGGACTGTATTTATGACAAAAAAATCAGTTATTGATTAACTTTCCACACTAAAAGTCTTTAAATTTTTTAATTCTTCTCTGTGAATACAAAAAATTGTATGTTCACAGATACAATAACTTTTTATAATAATTCACCCATTATATTAAATCAAAGTTTAAATATTTTAATGTGGTAAAATCTCTAAGTGTATTTTCTTAAAAAATAAAATCATATCATTCTAAAGTTTTTTCTTTAACTTTTCATTACATTTTTGAAATTAAATATAAATATCTTTATTATAATTGATTTAAGAAAACGAACATTAATTTTTTCCTAAAATTGGTGCCAATAGTGTCAAAAGAAAAATATGTTGCTAACATTTTTTTACTTATCATACAAATTTTCTAAAAACATTTTATAAGCTTTACAAATATCGATATATTAAAAGTTTCATGAGAAAAGTTTTAGAACACCGCACATAAACCTACAAAAGAGGAAATTGTTTATCTTTGTATAACCTTGGTTTCATCTGCATCATCAAGGTCTTTTTCTTCTTATTATTTTTTTTTTAATGAAAATCAAACTTATACTAAAGAATTTGCAATACTCACACCCAACTCAACCGTCTCAGCGATACCCTTTGTGGCTCATCATCAAGGTTTTACATCAACGGGGTTTTGTCACACAATGAAATAGTTGTGAAGGGCAGCAAGCAATGGTATTCATGGTGGTGGGCGAGCCACCGGTTGACTGTGTTTGTTACACAATAAAATTGTTGTGAAGGGCAGCAAGCAATGCATATTCCTGGTGGTGGGGGAGCCACATCAGGACAAAGCAATCCAAATGGCTGAAACAGTCTCCTATGTATATATGTCAGTATACAATAGAACTTCTAACACGTTCTTCTGTTAACTAAAATTCTTTAAGAATTGTAACATTATGAGAAAAAAATCATTAAATAAGATATAAAACCAATTGTATAAGTTCTAATAATTTTAACTAATACTAAAAAATATATTCAAAAAAGTTATATTTTTCTCTTAACCACTTCCATCATATATAATTAATTCCATCATCTTTTAGCGATTAATTTCAACTAGTAGGCATCAATTACAGCTAAAGCTAACCGATCAAAAAGACTTTTTGTAGAAATCATTTTACAACTCAAAAAAATTGCAAGTCATCAAAATATATTTACCACTAAACAAAAATTAAAAAAAAATTACAATATCTTAATGTGTTACAAATTCCTAAAATAAATTCAGATTTCATCAAAACTTTTAAGTTAAAAAAAAAAAAAAAAAAAAAAAAAAAAAAAAAAAA